CAAGATTTTTATATATTTATAGATCTATGTGATTTTAACCATTTTTGAAATTTAAAATTTTATAATTAGATATAAAAGTAGATTTTGAGATAATCTTAAGAACATTTTACATCAAAATTATATATCATGATAAAATTTGAAAGTGCACCTTACCTCTACACCTACGGATGCATCCGTATGCAAACTGCACCCTATATTCTTTTACAGGGGGAATCGACCCCAAAAGTTGAGATATCTAGATGCTCTATGCATGCAAAGAAGTCTACAGCATAAACATAAAATATCTTTTCACCATGCCTGCAAGGAGTCTACAGCATAAACATAAAAGATCTTTTCGCTATATCAAAAAATCAGTTTTCTTTTCTATGTTTTAGTATCTACAGAATAAACATTGAAACCCCATCTTGCGTAATAGGAAACACTATGTACTATTAGATTCGAACACTTTTATCTTTTCAAAATGAACTTCCACCTCTGCCCTGCAATTTTCTACATCAAAACAAGAAACAAATATCCAAAGAAAGTACACGAAAAACAATAAAATAAATAAAAGGCAAACTAATCCCAATTTCAATCTCCTGAAACATAATAAAGTACAAAATAGAGTACACTAAGCTTGACCTCAAGCTTGCAGCATTTGATGCATCCTTCATAAACCTTCTGAAAACTTGATGGAGTTGCATATATCGTTGAGGCAATTTTCCTATTTCAATGAATCAATTATTAACCGGCGAAGTTTGTATAAGGCGCCTATGTAGAAGCAAGGCATATCTCTAAATTTGCTTGGAGATGTAGTTTCAGTATTAGAAACGTTATAATGACTTGAAATCTAGTTTTTTCTGTATTTATTAAATTTAAAATTTCAAAAATGATACAGTTCAAGCTAGTCTATAAACAATCTAAAATAGAAAAAATAAATAGTATTGATAACTTGGTACAAGATGCATTATTTGTTGGAGTTGAAACTCTTTTTTTCCTTCATATCCACGCATCTAGATGTCGAGATGATCAATTTGAGGGTTCTCCAACTTCGTAACAATCTCTTCTAGAGGATTTTTTAGGTTCACCTTACTTCTATAGTATGAGGTTGCAACCTTATATAAACTTTCTTGCAACCTCATATAAACTTTCTCCATTAATAAAAACACTTGTGAAATTTGTAAGTGGAAACTCTAGAACAACAAGCATAGTCATGATTTCTCTTTGAACTCCTCTGGCAAGTCACTCTATTCAAAAAATTCTCTACCCAATTTTGCCCTTGACATTTGGGATTAGCTTAAGTTACTTAGCGAGTTCCATTGATCCTTAAGTTGATATTTCATGCCAGATCTCATGGGATATATCATTGTAACGATTGATTTTTACAAAATATATTTTTTTGACAAGGTAGATTCAAAAACTCTTCTTTGATTTCATTTATGTTCTCTTTAATTTATGAGAAAGTATACAAAGAGACTATTTATGTTTTGTACAAAGATATCACAATCACTTTTGTCCATTGGATTTCAAAATGAGTGGTTGTAAGAGTGTCATTGAAAATACCTAAAGTTTAAAAAAACATTATCCCATTCCATGACTAATTCTAGGCCGTCCAATTTGACATCTAATGAGTAGGAGTAATTGCGACTTCCTTGTAATAAAGATAAATAGTCTCATGGTATACAACCCCTTAATTTATTGATTCACAACATTCATGATCAATGCAATATATCAGAGTGGGTTATGGGGGCATTGTGATAGATGGATTTTTTGAATTTCTAATACCACTTGATGTAGAAAGAGGGAAAAGCAAAATAGAATAACTTAAAAAGTATATGAAAGGGAGAATATACCATTTCTATGGGTCGAAGCAAGGTTTAGGATATTCCACCCTCTTAAACTGCAAGTCAGTTTACGCAAATAAAAAATAAAAAATTTTACAAGATTCGAAAGTCAGGTCGTCTTCAAGACTTCATGGAAGAAAATTCAAAACCTTTCCTTGCACCATTAGAGACATTAACCAACATCAAATCCTAACCTTTTGTCTTCTCAAAGTTAGATTTCCAACTTAAAAATAATTAATATAAATCAAGTGACTTAAATCTCAATTTTGTAAGAAAATATAAATAAAATAAAAAATAAAAATCCCTTGATGCATTAGGATCCAACCAAATCGATCTGTCTTTGAAGGTACAAGTTTTATTAGTCTTTTTTTAATAGGTTTATTTAATTGTTTTCTTTACTAATATCTTCATATTTTTAGACATCCAATTTGAAATTGATTATTTTTTAATTCCTAAAACCACTAAATTCCCAAAAACTGTAACCCTGAACTGTAGCAACCATATTGGCCTAGTAAACTCTAGTACACCACTTGTAATCCATAATCCCTAGGAAACGACCAAATAAAATAGACCGTGTAAATTCCTAGAACCTTATTTCTACAAACAATGTTAAAAAGAAAACATTGATTTTAAGTTTGTAAAGGCGCATTTATTATCATTAAGTGAACAATGTTAAAGAAAAAAATGATTTAAAGGTTATAACCTTCTATCATCTCGACAACAAGATATAAATATGAAAAAAAAACAAAACGTTGAATCCCGTAAATAGTATATTTTACAACACATTATCTAAACCATCTATTTTCAAGATTCTCGTATGTTTATAGATCTATTTGATTTTAACCTTGTATGAAGTTTAAATTTTTTTAATTAAATATACAAATATATTTTGTAATAATTCTGATGATTTTTTACATCAACATTACATGCTATGACAAAATTTGGAGGTGCACCTTAATTGGATCGTTTAAGGTTGCAACCTTATAGAAACCACACCCTTCAAATTTTCGGATCATACAAATTCCACAAGCACAATTTTATAAAATATTATTTTCATCGTGTTACAATAGCAAATGGACACGAAATTACTTCCCGCGCGTATGGTATTTGTATAATTCTAGGGGTGGCAATCGGGGCGGGTAGAGCCGCCAAGTCCATGTGTTGGACCCAATGGATCAAGTTCGAGTCAAACACTTGGACCCAACAGGTAACAATCATCACAACCCGATATAAAATATATATAAATTAATTTTTATCTTTATAATTTCTAGACCCAAGTCTGGATCAGGTACGGGTCCAAAGGTCTTGGACCCCATCCAGGTCCAGTTCCATGTGAAATTAAGTCGGACCGGATCAACAAGGACCCAACCCAACCCATTGCTACCCGATTCTTTCGGACTATACGCTATATGTCCATTCTTTCACATGCACATTTCGCTCCTGCATCTTTTTCTTCACATCTTCTCTTCCATCCCACCACATTGTAATCTAGCGCTCATAGAGCAACCTAGATTTAGGCTGTACTGTCAACTCCACAAAGTCCCTTAAAAAGGTCTCCACTTCTTTAAATCTATAAACGGATCACAAAGCAATTATTTTGCTAAAACAGGAATTAATAAGTTTGTGCTTAGATTTGACAACTAGGCAAAATATACCGTTTACATGAAATTCAAGAGAATGCCCAAACGCTCATGTCTGGAATGGAAAACTTGCTCAAAATACTAGCAGCCCCAAGAGAAGGAGAGTTAAAATGAGTGAAACGAAATTAACTTTACAAGCAGAAGCACATAGGAGAGAGAGAGAGAGTTTGCTCAGGAGGGGTTTCAGGATATCTCAAGCTCCTCACACCAAAAGAATAAGAAGATGAACAAAAATTCTACATCCTACAAATTTCTCACCACAGAAGTCCCAAAAAAGAAGAATACAAAATATTACGAGAAACAAGGAATGAGTGCCCAGCGCTCGCAGCCCCCATTGGGATTTCAAGCAAGCCTTGAAATCCATAATAGAAAAAGACAGATATAACACTGGAAAGTCCTAAGATCACAAGCCTACTCTCCTCGGAATTCCAAACACTGGCACTCCACACCAGAGACATCGATAACAGGGGCAAGTGAAAAACCCACGCAGCACCAAAGCACCCAAATGAACGAATATATATAATAGAGGGATAAGAATTGACCAATTTTTGTTGTTCTAGTATCTACCAGTTGGAGGGGGAGGAGGCGGCAAACGATTGGGTGTGCGTCGGCTGCTTGAGTTGGGGTTGGAGCTGGAATCACCATTCTGAGCAGGGTCACTGTAACGTCGGCTGTGGCCATTGCCAGAAAACCTCGACTCCCCCAAGGAGTTGGAGTGGTCCACTGGTCCATTTGCAGCTGCATCAAATGCTGATCTCCACTCATCATTACCCGACAAACCGGTCCTTGGGCTGCTCACTGAGAATTTTAATGCCCAAAATCAGAATAATATGGACGTGCCAGGTCTAACTAATGGGAATCATGTAATAGCAAACCTCACAATCTCCTAAGATATAAGCTACAAGAGAGTCTACTTACAAGAAATTCATATGCATAGTGGGTGTGTAAATAACCAGCCAGAATTCAGAAAAAAAATAACCAGCAAGTCCTTGTGCTTCCAAAGGGCCGCAAACTTGGAATTTGACCCTTTAATATTATGTGGGGCATTAGAAGGAACAAAATCCAGAATCATCAAGGGCTAACAATCTCAACATTTATAGAGTTCATGATACACACAGAACTTATCAGTATATCCTGGCTGTGGTCAAGAAAAAGTTTCAAGTTTAACTCCGAGTGCAGCATGGTGGGGGACCCAAGTCCCTGAGAAGTAGATGGCTTACTAAGACTGCACCTGAGTTTACAAACTCTTGATCATTCAATAGGACACGGGAACTCGGACTGCAGCTGAGTTTACAAACTCTTGATCATTCAATAGGACACGGGAACTCGACTCTAGGGGAACCACCTACTCTTCTCTATGGCCTCTGGCTGTTAAAACCATTTTTACTATGGAGCCATGATTTTTCGTTTTGATCATATTAACAAAAAGGTGTGGTTTGTATAGAGCCGAGGCTCTAAGCAATCAAAGTAAAGTGCACCTTCAAATAGTGTCAAGAAATGTGATTTCAATACTGGAAATCTTTGTGATAGCCTTAAAATACATTTTTATCTTTAATTATAAAATTTAAAGCTTCAAGAATAGTGTAGATCGAGCAGATCAATGAAAACTTGAAAATCTTGAAAATCGACGGTCAAAAAATGCATTACAATATGCATTATTTTCAAATTTTGAAATCCATTTTTTTATCATGTCCATGCATCTTGATGTCGAGATGATCACTTCGATGATATTTGGGCATCAAAACAACCTCCTCTAGTGAAAGTTTTGAGGTACGCTCTAATTTGATTATTTAGAGCCTCGGCTCTATATAAACTTTTTCCTTAACAAAATATTCCATTACTATAATAGCAGTATAAAGAATAAAAAATTAAAAAAATAGAAATAAAAAGGGTAAAGAGATGTCAAGGCAACATCTTAGGATTCCGACATTGAAACTATGTCACCTACAGTGACTCTTGAAGAACCCCTTCACTAGCAAGGTATCAACCTCTTGGTTAGCTCTATGGTTGTCAGGATCTCGCAACCTGGGTGGCAATCCTACTGCTGAATCTCGCTCCAGAGCTCCAGAAAAGGGATCTTCAAGAGATCTCGATTTTTAAATTTTGGCATCTCGATCCCTACTGTTAGGTACCACGATCCCCATTGTTTGGGATCTCAATTATAACTTAAAGATCAAGATAACGACCAAATTGATGATTTCCTCCAACTAGCAGTGTAATTATACTTCTGACATAATTGCATTACTTGTTGGTTACAAATGAAGGGATCCTATTAAAAGAGTATATATAGTCCTAGATATAAAGACCAAGAGAAAAATCACCAAAAAGATGAAATCGAGATCCCAAAAGGTCGGAATCCAGATCCCTGCCATTTGGGGATCTCTATCGTCAACATATATGCTTTTTTTTTGATAAAGTTTAACTTTTAAATTATAAATAAAAAAAGTACGGAGTTTAGGGGAGAAATGCTTTCCACAGGCGGAAAGCTAACATAACCCTTATGAAAACGGGGGTGCGAAGAGTAGAATCCAAAAACATCTTTTTAAAGGTTACAGTGACAGAAACAAAGAATTATGCATCATCTAGCATTGTTCCATCTTTAGCGAGAGAATCCGCTGCTTGGTTTTCTTCCCTCCAGATATGCCTCCATGAGGCGACCTCAACATATATGTTGCACGGACAATACTCTCAACCATATATTTTCTAGCCTTTCAAGATTAATGTTTTAAAAAGCGGACTGCCCAGTGCCTAGGCGGCCACCTATGCGGTCCAGAAGGCCTGGACGCATTGCCCAAGCCTAGGTGGCCAAATTAGGCGGATATCCTTGGGTGCCCGCCTAGGCGTCTGCCTGAACCCACTTAGGCGGCCGCCCCTGCGGCAGCCCAAGGCTTGCGCCCCGCTCAGGGCCAGAAATGCGGCTCCTTGAAGGTATTTTTGGGTCTTTTTTTAATGCTAACAAAATTGTGAGTTTTAGGTTCATTTGAAATCTAAAACCCATTAGAAGCTATTTTAGAGAGAGAAAACCCCAAAAAGGAAAATGTTTCCAGTAGGCCACCCAAGTTCTGTGCGCTCGCCTAAGCGCTAGGCAGCCTGGACCCCCTGACCTCCTAGGCACCGCCTAGCGCTTTTTGAAACACTGTTCAAGATCCCCTGGTCCTAATCCCTCGCCCGCGCCCAATCCCAATCCCAATCCCAATCCCGTTCCCAACAACTATTGGTTACGTCCCTTAAGAATGTTGTGCAAAAAATCATATCGTAGTGTCAAAAATATCAAACATCTCACCAAAAATCATAGCCAGCCTCCATGGAAGAGAATATTTAGGAACCCATCTTATGACATTAAGACCATCCCCTTCTACTACCAATTGACTTCTTAATTGGAAGGGACAGATCCTCAGACCTATAAGCAATGAACAAGCCTTCGCTAATACAGAATCACATATCCCCATTGGACCCTAGTAGCTTTTGCGCTTCCTACCTTTTTTACCTCTAAAATTTAAAGCCATACCTCTCCCAACAAATAATGTAAAACCTATAGCCCTGCACCAATGTTCATGTTCAAGAAGTCAGGGCAGCCACCGAGGTGGTTCGGCAGCCGCCAGTAACCTATGTGGCCACTGCATTTCTTTTCTTTTTCTTTTTTGTTGGGGAGAGGAACGGGACGGCGCTGGTTTTCAAATTTCAAACCTGTTTACTTATTAACTAAAATTTACATGTTTAATTTTCAAATTTAAAACCTCTTTACTTGACTAAAATTTACATGTTTAAAAAACTAAAACTTTGAAATTGCCAAAAATTTTGGAAACAAAGTCAAACATCGCCAAAAATATATTATAAGTTTTTGATATTCCATAATAGATTATAAACATAGTCAAACATAGAGTAATATTTTTAAATTTGCATCATAAATTAGAAACAAACCCAAGCATAGCCAAAAACATATTTTTATATTATATCACAAAAAAGCAAATCCTAAAAAAAAAACACTCATGAATTTTCATCATAAATGTAAAAAGCCAAACTTCAAAAATAAACACAAGAAAATGACATAACATAACACAATACTCACAAAAGATATGAAACCCTAAACATAAACAATTAAATTTACTAACCTTTCAGAAAGCAATAAAAATAGGCTTCAATCAGTCACTCTCAGTTGCCAAAAGCACTCTTTTGTGGCCTCTTTAATCCCCACAAAGTTCTAGAGTTCTGGGTCGAATGCCTTTAGATTTTGCAATAAATAGAAAACTTTGAATTCGATCCTTAAAAAATATTCGATTTTGAGCTAAAAAAATTGTTTTTGGGGCACGAATAGAGTTATCCCTCTCAAATACTATTTCCCCCCTTTCAAGGCGGATAATGACAATTTCGGCAATTGTCAAATTGTCAATTGTCAAAAGGGTCCTGGCAGGTGCCCGCCAAGGTGCTGCCTAGTCAGCCGCCCAACGTCACCATCCCACATGGGCCCAGTGGCCTGGGTGGCCGACCTTTTGAACATTGCCCCGAATTACATCCCTCCAAAGAAAATTTCCTTACAATCTCTCCATCTTATCAACCACTCTAGCCGGCATATAGAAAAGAGACATAATATACTGGTATATTTGCCGAAGTGGCTTTAGCAAGTGTGATCCTTCCCAGCAATGAAAACAACTTACATTTCCACGCTGCAAATCTCCTCTTCATCCTCTCCACAGGATCCCATAGACTCTTCTTCCGTTGCCCAAGACAAGTGGAAGGCTCAAATATTTGTCAAAAAGAGACAAAACCAGACACTCAAGTCTATCTGTCAGGGATAAGTATGGAGCCATGATTGTTTAACAAGACTTGATTAATATCATCAGATGGGCCTCTTGTGACCCCTACAATGGGTTTCCTTTAAATCTGACAGGCATAATGAAATAGATTGTAAAGCTACCCCAAGGTGCTGACATATCCTTCAACCACATGATGTTTTAGCCAAAAGATGGGATTGAGAGGGTGGAGGGCTTCAATACTGGAGACTCAGTGCCTCCACTTGGTTTCCCGAATATGTTCTCTCTATTCTCTCTGTGTTTTTCTCTCTCCCAACACCATGTCTCAATTTGCTAATTTCCCCTGGTGCAACTAAAAGCCTATAGCTTTTATGATTGTATGAATCAATTATTAATCCAAGAGGATAAAAGATTTTCTTTGCTGAGGAATTTTTTTTCCCAAAACAGCAATGAAAATTGATCAGTACTAGGTGAAAATGAAGAATAATCAGCGATCTTGGAGATTTGATCAGTGATCCATAAAATTTGTTTTGCAAAGCAAGTCTTAATTATTCAAGAATGAATCATTGCATGTAACATAGCCAAGTGATCATCAAGGGAATCTATTACACCAAACCATGAAACATATTTTGATTAGTTAAGGAAATTTATCCATTTTATAACAGCATTTTCCGTTCTTCTGTCACAAGCATGCCTGTTTTCTAGAAAGATTCAAAGCCATTTATCAGTTCTGTGGTAGTCTTTTGTGTTTTTTGAAACTGTTAGTTCTGTGTAAGTCAACATGCACAATTTACATTTAAGCAAAGCTATTCACAGAAATTGCTACAGAGTACAGAGAGTCTGGGCCACACCTGCTCCACCACCCCCATTGGACCAGCTGGTGGCCACGCCAGCTCGATTGTCATGTATGCTGAGCTGCCGTGTGAATTTAGAAAGAAGAGACTGTTGTCTCTGGAAGCGCTCCCTCTTGCGCTTCACATTCTGATCCTCCTGAAGCAATTCCTCAATTCTAGCCGTGCTCTGAGCACTATTTTCGAGCAATGGGAAATACAAAACAAAAATAGATCAGCCATTGCACTTTAGACAGCAACAATAAGAAAAGCAGAAACTCTTTTACCTGATGGAGCTGTATAGCTGATTAAGCATGTCCTCCTTTGCTTTTTCAACTTGGCAAAGAACAACGGCCTGCAAAATATTGCTATTTCAGAAATGGTGAAAAACATAGGGTACGTAAAAGTTTTCCATTGAGAGAGAAAAAGAACCAAGTTCAAAAAGCTGCACATTTTCCCCTTACTTTGGGAACATTGGCCGCGAGACTGTTCAGCACAGCCTCCACATAACCACGTACTTCCTGAGACATCCACCTGAGCTCTTCTTCTGGATCTGCAGGCCTTCTAGCCATTGTGTCCTATTAATGTGGGAGAATACAAATTAATGAATTGTAGCTACAACCGATAAAGACCTAATAAAGAGCTGAACATGAGCATGGACTTGTATCTATCTGATTGTGATTGTGCATAGTATGCAAAGGTATACTCTGAAATGAAACCAGCGCCCATACTAGTCAGGATACTGGTTTCAATTATGAATTTTGATCTATACATAGCAAGTTATGCATGAAAAATGATCAGATAGTCTATTACTTCAGAACCTAGAACACGATTCTCAATTTATTCCAGCCCATGATCAAATCAAACTGGCCCAATCAACCTTGTGAAAAACAAAAAAAGGCCCAACCTGTACAGATCAAGGTTGTGCAGAAGGGACTGGACCACTTGGGGTGGTCCACCAGCTTGACAGCAAACTGCACCTGCAACTAGGACACAGTTTGATCACAGGATTGGAAAATTCTGTCGAAACTGGCAGATCAGACTCGATTAACAACCCAACCAGAGCAGTTAGTTCTGATATTTTCTATTTTTAAAATTTTTTCTGGACATATCCAACCTGTTTCCCAGTCCAGTCGTAATGATTTTGGATAAGATTTCTTCAGAATGGATTTGGCCATATCTGGGTTTTGATCATCATTCTGGGTGTCCAGCCAGTTAAATGCAGATAAACCAGATAACTGAAGGATCTGACTGACAGTTCAAACTCATAGACCAAATTTAAGGCTCCGTCTATGAAATTCGTTGGGATTAAAGCAGAGCAAATAAATATGCCAAATATCAGGTTTAACTAGTACTGGTAGCCTACTTGCGTCCATTCTATAGTTAAACACCAGAAAAATAAAAACCAGTGTCACAAATTAGCAAGTTCCACCAGCATAATAACCATACAGGATCAGTCAATTCAGGAATAGACGAGTGTGACCACCATAGACTTAAATCATACTTACAAGAGAACCTTCAGAGAGGCTCTGTCGTATGGGTAGACCAGGTTCAGAACCCCCTTTGATAGGGCCCCCCTTAGAAGGTTGGATAATGCTCCTAATCTTGTTTACCCACTCAATCTTGTCCGCCATATTTTCTGCCTTCAACACAACCGCGCTATGTGCTGCATATAATTAAGACAAATTTAGGTTGCTCACAATCAACGCTATCTACTTGGAAAAACTCAATATCATGCATGACTTGAATGCATGACACACCTTTTAGAACAGTTTTGTATGCAACTTTGTTGGTTATCTTGAACACAAGACTTGGAGCTTTAGAATCAGGCCCATTTGCTTTTTTAGAGTCCTTTGAAGACTTTGATGGAGGATCTTCAGCATCATCAACTTCTTCTATATTACATTCCTGCACAGCATATTAACATATTCCATTGGTTTTTTAAAATAGCTCGAAATGGTTAGACCACAGTTGTTCGATTGGGATCAACACTAAGGAATCATGACAAGCACAAAGCTCCCTAGGGATTGCGTGATCTCGATCCCAATATGTGGGGGAGCTCGATCCAAACTTAATTGGGATGAAGTCTCAAATTATACAAAATAAAGCTCCATTCAGTTAAAATTTGAGGTCCCTGAAAGCACTTAAACTAGTATAGTAATATGATGTATGCTACCATACCACATTGATGTACAATACTATGTTGCTATGCAATATACTATATTCTACTATATTTAAATCTATTGCATACAACCACATAATATACTATACAATAAAGTGTGTACATATATACTATTGTAATATACCATACTATTATATTGTATTGTACGACTATACCATGCAATAATGCTATACTATAGTGTAATGCTATAATAGACTCAATGTTCAAAAATTTGGCCACCCAGCCGCCTAGGCGTCCAATCGCCTAGGTGGGGCACCTAAGCAGCTTGCATCTAGGCGCCCGACTAGGCACTACAGTCAAGGCGGCCGCCTAGGCACCGCCTCGATGCAGGTTGCGGAGGGTGGAGAAATGCCCTCGGCTCTGGTAAAAATATAATCCCCCCCCCCCCCACCCCCCTCTCTTAAAAAGGGGGGAAAGGGGTTTGAAGGACATTCTAAACCCCCAAAACCAAATCCATGCCATCTAGAGAGAAAAACTCCCCAAAAACCTCTATTTGGTGATTTATCAAAAGATTGATAAAGTTTCGATTTCTTCCGAAATCAAAAGCAATGCTCAGTGGTAGTTTTCGGAACTTCTAGTAGTCAATAGTGAGGACTTTTGGCGATCGAATAGATGAGGTTTGGGTCGACAACATTTTCATTTTGATATTTTTAGAGCATTATGCCATTATGATATTTGAATAAGGGTTTTGATTTTTTTTGCTATAATGTATTATGTTTTGAATCATTTTGACTTTTTTTAACTTTTTTTTATGATATATTTACATACTTGTAGTTGAAAGATTGATTTTTTGTAATTAATTGATTATTAACTCATTTGGACGATGAAATTGGTCCTACATTCAATTATTTTATGAATAATTGGTTCTTATTTTGTACAATGTGTGATGTTTTGATCTCCTATTAGTTCTCTTTTTTGATATTTTTAGATATTTGTAGATTAAACATTTATCGATTTGGACTTATATTTTGTGAATAGTCACAAAATTTGAATGAAATTGATATTTTGTGGATATCTGATATCCAAAACCAAATCTTATGGATATTAATTAATAAATAATAATCATATTACAACTAGTATCTTAAATTCTTATGTGAATAGTCCCTACCCGTCCTTGTCGAGCGCCCGGCTGCCTAGGCAGTCAAGCCTCCAAAATTCCTAGGCACCCCGACTGCGCTTTTTTGAACATTGACCATCTTTGTTAAACTATACTTCAATACTAGGGAATCCGGATCTCTTGTAACTCAAGATCTTGATCCCTAATAGGAAGGTTTGAGATTCCAAATTTTAAGAATCTTGAAGGAGCAAGATTCCCTTCCCTAAAGCACCAGAGCAACACTCCAAAGAAAAATCGACCACTTGATTAGGAAAACTTAACTAACATTTGGATATAGTATTTAGTGGTTACCAGTCTGTGCCATAGTTGTTGGAAACACCTGAGAACCCGAATCGTTTTAAAAACCGGAATCACAGAATCGCGGCCGGCTAGAAGATTCTTGTCTTAGAAATCATTGTTCGTACAATAGGAATCCTAGGAACAAGATTCCTAGTTTTTAAGACTCGTCTTTCGACCGAAATAGATCCAAGTTTCATCCACATATGGAATCGGGATTCCCATCCCCTTGGAATTGACACTCCAGGAGTCAAGATTAATTAATATGCGGAATCAAGTTTCCGATATCAATCGAATCGAGTTTCTGACATATGTGGAACAAATATATGTTGTTGTTTCGAATCATGATTCTAACATATTTGGAATCAAGTTTCTAAAATATATGTATTAGAGATCCATGCCAGTTTGAGATCGAGATTTATAATAATATGGACTATGGAATGCGTTTGACGACCCCTACTAGGAATCGAGATTTCATTTTTATGGAGAAGGAAGCCACAAGCACATCTTGAGCCTCATCAACTTTCAAATTTATATTGGATGTCTCTAATTATAAGGTTTCCCAAATTTTAAAGTGTTTGTATAGACTATTGAACTTACGGTTATTATATAAAAAAGACGAGCATTTCTAAATTGTGATATTGGGTTCATTATTATAAAGACAAAATAGGATTGTGTTTACGCCATGGTTTTACTTTTAATTGTATGTGTTGTAGTTACCAGTTATATTTTAAATTTAAAGTAAAGGCCATCCAGGGTGGGCACAAATAAAATAATGAAACCCTATAACCACTAGAAGCATTCGAAAGAAAATTTCTACTCCAATTGACGTGGAATCAAGATTTAATCCTCTGTGGAATCTAGATTCGATATATTTGGAAACATCTACCTACAATTAATGGGTTCAAGTTTCTAAAGATGTGTTGGATCGAGATTTCGAAATTAAGGAATCGAGTTTCCTTAGTTCCGATAAATGTTCTCTAAAGATCCGTTGAATCGAGATTCCGAAATTAAGAAATCGAGTTTCCTTGGTTTCGAAGGATGGTTTCTAAAGATGTGTCGAATCGAGATTCCAAAGTTAAGGAATCGAGCTTCCTTGGTTCGGAAAAACAGTTTCCGTGGAGATTCCTTAATGGAAAAGCGGAATCGGGTTTTGAAACCGAAAACGCGAGGTCGGTGGAGAGATTCCGGTAACTAAGGTCTGTGCAACTTCAAGTTCAAGTCCTGCAAATAACTATTAGTCCAGGTTACAATAAGGCTGTTTCACATGCAACAATGAGCATAAGAAAAGGGTAAGATGCTCCCAATAAACAACCAATGTAACTCAAATATGGAAATCAACAAGTAATTACAATACAGAAGCCCCACACATTTTGTTTGCTCTTATACCATATACAGATTAATAAAAAAACACAGACAACTATACACGACCTACTAGTAAGACTTCTAGCAGCAGCAGAATATTCAATTAAAAAAAAAAGGTAGCCTTTCATATTTGCATTTTGAAATAAATTAAAAAGTTACTAAAATGACAATTATTAAGATCCAGATATAAAAGTTAGTGATACACCTAAAAGGACTTCGGTTGCAACATCAACATAGGCAGAAAAAAGGGCCTCAATCTACTTATCAGATCAAGAGAGTAATAAAAGTTTTGCTAGGAGGCGAGAATACTACATAATTCAGGTCAGTGATGGAAAGAAATGAGAGGGTACGAAGGGTGGAACAAACTTGTAAAGACAGTAATTAAATGAAAACCAAAAGCCATAAAATCATTAAGACCAGTATATAAAGACTAATACGCCGAAAGGAGTAAATGGGTGTACAAGATGTGATATGCTATGAGCCTGAGGCAACAGTGGGGGCCAGCCAAACCTTTTAATAAGCCTTTTTGAAATTATATAGAACCTTGAGCATCATAAGAAATCTAGTGAGTAATCACGTGCAGCGTCAAGATAGAGAATGTGATGCCAGAAGCAGGCAGAAATCAAAAAGATAGGTCCATTCCATGCGATGAGACCTCAGCTATGTCAGCTCTACTGATATACACAAAACAGAGGGGAATGAAGTCCTCCATCATTGGTCAAGAGAACATACTAACAAATGTTTTTACTGAACAGATTGATGGAAACCTCCTCCTGAACAACCTGGTATTCTACATTTTCACCTGCATGAGTAAACTTTGAAATAAAAGCATGACTTTCACCTCTACCATATAGGTCTCAACCTAATGTCAAAATATTGCCCTATATCTATCAGGGAAGCAAGCCAGAAAAAAGAACTCCAGAAAGCAACTAGAGAGGCTCAGAAACTTCAAAGGGTGAGGCTTCAGAGTGTATCTAAATATTCATAAAAACATGGCAACAAAGTAAAAAGGAACTTTCATGAAGTATCCTAAGAGTTCCTCAGAAGATGTCGTCAAAAGCAGTGGGGAACTCCAAAATGTTGTCACCTACAAAAAAAATTAAAAAAATAGCAAAATAAAAGAAGAAGAAAGCACGGCACAGTGTGCAGTATGATAAATTGCTTCTAATGGACATACACTTAAATGACTTTTACTGCTTTACTTTCAAGTGAAGTTTCACAGCTATTTCTGTGTGCAAAGGGTAAATCCGCGTGTTTACAAATGAAGCAAGCTACTACCTAAACTATTAAAAAAAACCACGCAGCATCCCAGTGAAAGAGCATGAGCATAAAAAGTATTCATACAACATAAAACAAATTATATCTATAAGATCCTAATCTGTTTTTCCGCTGGCATGTTACAAACAGGGATACCCACAGACATGGGCAGATTATGCCAATTGACTAACAATTCCCATATTTGTCATGTTCCTCACTCCTTGTCTAGCAGAAACTAAATGCTTCAACAAGAAGAATGTCAACAACTGCCAAAAAGCTTCACTTCAACAAGTGAGCAGGCTGCCATGCAAAGGTCCCAAAAGTTAACTAACCGTGGTATGCTTCTTTCAACAGCATACTTCTGAGTACTTCGGGAATACGCTCTACTAGTACTTAACTCCTTCTTAACTAACTACAATTGCCTACTATCATCAAAATTCAGTATCTCCTTTCTTACTCACAAAAAGGAAAAGATAAAAAAAAAAAATTAAGAGAGGAAGAAGTAGATGTCCAACAAGACCTGTAGAAGCCACCCAGCAGCAAGAAAAGAACTTCTTAAAGCTATTTAAAAAGAGCACGTAACTATAATTTAAATTTGGTACACACCTCCAAATTGATGACCCCACGAAAATGTCTTTCCTCTTGTTTCTTGGTGTAGCTGAGCTGCAAAACAGAATTTAGAAACCAAATAGTTTCTGTCAAGACTCTCGTCAATCAGAAAACGGATAGGCCCTATCATGCATGATAAAATATTTCCATCCAGATTGACCGTCAATAGGTACATAACAAAAGTTTCAACGCACTAAAATCACCTTGCCCGTTTTTCCATTCAGAACAAACCATCGCCTACTCCAACCATTAGTTTTTGCACTTTTCTTCAACAGATATCCTGGAATAGAATAGTAAGTTAAGTAATCTGCAGGAAGCCAGAAATGATACACAGCTCTTTCATGATCAATAGACGTTAACGAGTGTCTTCTGTAAGCCACTTTACAATTTAAATCAGCCAAGTCAAGATTCAATAGATCATGTCTCACATGGGAAAAGTGAAATTTCACACAACTTTTCACTTGACTAACACAAATAATGTTGATAAATAGTAAAAGTCCAACTATGCCATGTTCAAAAAAAAAAAACGAAGTCAAACTATGCAAAAGAGAGCCTTGATTGATGCTCAGTTAGTTCACAATTACCACACTTGAGAAATTATCCCTGATTAGTGGACCAAAGTAGCAATAATTCATACACACACAAGATCGTATATATCGTACCCAAGAGGAAACAAATTCACTCTCAGAGCCTCATGGGCTCAAAACAACAGTAATTTTCAAGAAACCATATTGGAGCTCTGAGTCAGTACAGCAAAAGCTTGTCTAGATTCTTTAAAGATATTACCTCTGGGAATATACCCCTGATTTATATTTATTCAAAATGGCATAATAGGTTCCTGAGCAAACAGACATGACAGTTGATGCAAGCCGTAGAAGACCACTAGGTTCATTCTTTAGTAATATTTATTGAGCCTATCTTAGCTTATGATCAACTTACTATGTAGGTGTACCAGGGGTTTAAAAAACGGCGAGTCGACCCAGAATCACCCGGGTCGACAAGGGAATCGGCCACCCCGTGACGATTCCTATGAAATACCGAAAATCGGACGAATCTAGGGCTGAAACAGCTACAGTAAAATGGCAAGTCACCACAATGAATCACCCCCGGTGATGTCATGATTACCCTGATTGACGCAATAATTTTTTTTCTTTTTTTAATTTTTCAGTTTTTCTATCAAAAATTTGAATTACATGGCCCCCACCTGCTTATACATCAGCATGCTCCAATTCCCATACACCAACCCACTTACAAGTGGCCCTCTTCCCATAATCAGCTAACACAAACAATCGGGTTGCTTGTTTTATGGGGCTTCTTCATCCCACATCTCTTCGATGTGGGACAATTCTTATATATACACCTTTGCTTTTTACTAACACCGTAACACGTGGGATTTTAATAACGTTTGAACTTTAAACATAAAAAGCCCTTGGTGTGCCCAACGGTGCACGCCCGACGGTGTACGCCCGATGGCAGTAATTAAATTATATGATAAGAAAGGGGTAAAATTATTTAAAATAATAATTGGGTGCTCACCACCCCTATCTTTCACCAAAAAAATTTAAATTTACCTACCCAAATAAAACATAAAAACTCTATTAGGCTATTATCTCATGGGATTATTTCATTACATGATTAATAATTAATTAAGTAGTTAATTGATATTAAAAATTAGTACTAGCTCATAGGATATTAAAAAACAAAAATAATACTAATTCTAGTTCATTGAATATTAAAAAACATTAGTTTAGAGGATCTTTTAAGAGAGAAAAGTAACACTAACTCATACCACTTTAGCATTTATTTCCACATTGATAACCAAATCTTTTTATTTTATTTATTTTAATTTATTTACATTATAAATTATGTGATGTATTATTTTTTCTTATAGTTGTCAATAATACATTTTAAATTAGATGATATTGTAAGATGGTTTGGATTTGTTATTATTTATATAATAAAATAACTATAAAATGTAAACCACCAATTTCAATTTCAATATATACTATTATAGTTAGTTGGGTTGTAATAATTTTGGGTTATAATTAGTTAGGTTGTAATAATTTGGGTTTTTTTTTAGCGGATAAGGGTTTTCCGCCAATTCGAGATTTTGGTGGCCATTTTTTCATCGATTTAATCCATTCTTTATTGTAGTCCATGTATGATTATATACTACATCCATGATAATTCTATGATTTTTCTTTTGGGTGATGTAAATTTAATGGTTAACACAAATTCATACAGGGAAAGAACAACTCAATATTCGCATATTGATGAAAAAAATGAAAGTTAATAATGTAGTACCCCCATTTCTTATTGGATTCCTAAAAAACAACATTTATAATGAATTTTAATAATTTTTTTGGATTTTGTTTTAAGCTTAATCCTACCGATTCAACCGATTCCCGATCCGGATCGCCGATTTACCAATCCGGATGGGTTTTTGGGGTGCCCAATCTGGGGAACTGATCCGTTTTTTACAACATTGGGTGTAACAGCAATTTTTTTAATTAAAATAGCGTATTTGCCCAACTACTTCTATAAAGGCCCACACAATGTGTCCATGGGAATACTGTATACCGACAATAATTTGACTTAAAAAATACAATTCTTGCATACAAGTGCAGTTGACAAGCACCAATGACGTAACAATAACTCCTTATTTGTGAAAGAACAGTAGAATGAGTTACCCATGATGCCTCTGATCGGAAACATAGTTGGCAAACCTAATTAAGTCTCGCAAGCAACCCAACCCAAAGCCAAACCAGGTTGGGTTACCATTACAACCCCAATCTCTTCAAACGCAATCTAAAACTCAATAGACTCAACCGGGGCATATAAAGCGTACATGACCTAATCAGGTTACAAAACTTAAGTAGAGTCTTTTCTTGTGTCCCTCTAATGTTCAAAAACTAATGTAAAACTAGCCTAAAAGGATGAAGTTTAAGAAGACCAAAAGCAGCACACAAATCGGTTTCCTTAATAGATAACAGTTGACACATAAGTGGCTTAAATTTTGTCTATCTCATAAAGATCAAGCCCTCAAGCAACCAGACCCAAAACCCAAATTCTGTTATATCCAACCTTCCAAAGTTTACAATCAAAAAAATAAAAAATAAAAAAAAATAAAAAATAAAACAGACAAACTCCAAAAAAGTCGAGTAATACACATTAATTAAAGCAAGGTTTTTATTTTATTTTTCAATAAAGGTTTATTTTATTTTTCTTCTTATTTTTTGCTGAAAATTTTCCATTTCCCCAAAAATGTAAATGATGTCTTTTTTTGTTGCTCTTTGATAATAGTGATATTATATAAAAAGAAGAAGTATTATGTGTGTTATGAAATGAAACAGATTGTTAACAAGTAAACACAAAAATCATCGAGGTAAGTTGTTATCCTTTTTTTGTTGTTCTTCAAAATTTTCATTTCAACTCAAAATCATGAAATGAAAACACTTGCTTCAGTTAACCTTAAAAAAATTAAAAAGAAAAAACTAAAATCATTTCTTCTTTTTTGTCTTTTTATTCTCTTTGACAAAAACAGAATGAATTAGACTCATAGCAGTTCCAAAGGAAGTTCGATGAAAACAAATATCTATTTCTTTCTTTTTTAGTACCTTCAGAAATTTATAGTTTCCATATAAAATCATGGATGGATTTTTTCTTTTCTTTTTTTTTTATGTTTCATTACATTTTTATATTCCTTAGTATTTATGTTCCTTTTTTCGGTCATATTTTTTAGATTTTAACATGACCCAGTAGTGTCAACCTGATCAAATCAACAGGTTAACCTGATCTGGGAGCTTATTGAGTTAGGTTGAGTTTTCAGGTTGGCATACACTGATCTGAACTCGACCAATTTAAATTGAAAGTACTTATCATGACACAAAAAGGAGTCATCGAATGCATTTAAAATGTAAGTGCTCACCTGCTGTTATCTCCCCATCAGAACCAGCAGTTTGCAAAGCTGATCCCTCTTTTGCATCTTTATCTGCATGATTTGATTTATCCTTCATGGATTTCAAGCTTCCACCTATCTGCTGGGCCCCAGTTTGAGGGCTTGTTGCCTGACAATGTAAAAATGGGAGATACTTAAAGGTTCTCAAAAGGGAAAACATCCATAGAACAAAACAGAAATATCTAGCAACGAGTCAAATTCATGGAGCAATACCATAACTACATTTAACATCATGGACAAATAAGATTACAGATTCATTGAATGAACAAGCCTGACCCTGTTTAGAACGACTTGTTCTGCCTCAATCCCCTTCTTGGATGATCGATTTTTCAGCTCTTCCTCTCGTCGCTGCCTATCCATTCTGGTAACATCATTAACATAAAGACAGTAATCTTCCTTGAAGAAGAATGATATTCAAAGAGAAGGTCCATATTTTGAAGTGCAAAAGATGCTATCTATCTGCTCTCAATTTAGCTTATACATAATTCACACCATCTACACATGCGTGAATGCACGTTGAGAGAGGAGGGGGGGGCACTGAAATGCAAAAATATAAATTTGAAGAGACAAAAAGAAAAGGAAATGATCACAAGACCATGTTCGTAAGCTAACAACTACAGCAATCCAATTGGCATTGCAAGCAAACATACAGAACAATGAATCTCTAACACGTACCCAGGTTGTCAAACACAGATACCTGATGCATATATATTTGTATATGTGCACCGATGTGCATGCATGTGTGTGTGTTTGAGATGGTAAGAGAGAAAAACACAACATAAATTGCCACAATGACAAAGAATTGTAAGACTCAAATATGGTACCGATAACAGAGAGACCAAGATAAACCCCATATACAAGCATTGTTTAATTAAAAAAAAAAACAGAGCACGAATATAAGGTTCTTCCAGCATAAGTCATAGATATTTAACACCAATAAACGCAAGCAGAATGAAGAATCAAGTTAGAACAAGAAACAACCCAGATGATGGAAACAAATTATAGTGCCCAGGAGGATCAAGTTTATACAAAAAGATCTAGATTTAAGAAGTTCCAAAAACAAGGTCCTGCACAAGGATAAGTCTGCCAACTGATATGCACACATTCTCCAATGCAGTCATACTCAAACAGGACCCGTGCTTCAGATAATTTCAACAAACAAATTAGTTCAGACCCTTTCAAACCCACATGATGATAAGCAAAGTTATCTAAATAATCACATCACCGTGAAAGTGACAAGAGTACAAATACCTGAAATCTCTACATATAAATAATTACCTATGATCCCATTAGATACAAGCATCCAGATTTCAGATCAACCATGTAGGTAATCTCTGCATGGCTGGCCGTCCACCAACCAACAGCGCAATGCTAACAATCCTTAAATAGCTTCTAAATGTGTTGAAATGCACATGTGTGCAGTGGCAGATGTCTAACATGTGTCAGACATGATAGGAACCAGATAAGGAATATAGAGAATTTTCATACCCCACGAAAAGTAAAGTTTTCTACATTTTTTCCCCCTTTTTTCTAGTTTTCTTTGGAAAATATTGACAGTTATCGTTGCAATAAAAGAATAGTCATCTACATCCAGTTGCCTCTAGTGACATATGAATACATGGACATGCAAGAGAAACATAAATACATCCAGTTGCCTCCAGAGGAGTCATGCAAGATCGTTTGGGCCCCACAAATAGATTTCTTCTACTGGTTGCCAGCAATGTAAGAGTTACTAAGTTTTCTACAATTAAAACTATGCAAATTGAAAAAATAAATTTCAGTAATGGAATTAAACTATGAGTACCAGTCTAGTTGGGTACTCATAGTTTAATTCTTCCAAGTTTCATTTCCTCAGTCAAGGGATTATATTTTTTTAACATGTTTCTTCCTTTTACATTTCCATAAGGTTATTTTTCATAAATAACATCATTGTAGTGTTTCATACTTTGGACGCTCCAAAAGCCATGCCAACTAGAGGACTGAATATGTCTAGGAGCAGAACACTGTGCCCTAGCAGGTCTATAAGTGGGGGCAGATAACTTCACTTGCTCATGAGACCATTAAATTGTTCAAGATAAAGATTTCAAAGTCACATTATTTCAAAAATGGAAACTATAATATCATAGATTAGACAGAGGAAAGTTTACGGAAATCATTGAAACCCTAATCAGGTTATAATTACTGATCCCACAACATTTACATTAATATCCAGATCTTTACAAGGCAGCATGCTCCTAGAGCAGGCTTTTAACTGCTCCCAGCAAACAAATCACTCAGTATTTATTCTTTTAATGTCGTTTTGCTGGAAAAATAACAAATGTTTCACTTTACAGGAAAACAAAACCTAGAGAAAGAAACAGTGAGTGTTCTCAAAGCAGTCAAATCAGCACATAAATATTGGCATTTGTCCACAGATACAAATTACTAATGAGCATCAGTTCAAACCAAACATACCTCCTTTGTACCAGACGGATGAAATGTTGAGGTGGAACAAAAGCACGCTCCATATCAACTAGAGCAACAACCATCTTCTTTGCCTCATTTCGAAAACCATCTAAGGCGGCAGATGCAATGGCAACAACCTTCCCACAAATATAATAATTACAAATTTTTAGAACAAACAAATTTCTGCATCCTTCTACAGATTTGACATAAACAAATCCTACTAAATGACATGGTTACCTCTCGCTTAAAGGGAGGATATCTACCAAGACCTGGTGTTGCCGATGCAGCAGAAGAAACAATATCTATCAAAACACGATGCACCTATTTCCATAACCAGTTTAACATTCAAACACATCAGAATAGAAAAGCAGAGATATCCACAAATATTAGTTTCAATGTGTTAATGGGAGTCTTTATAGGACGGCTGTTCTATAGGACAGCTATAAGACTAACCATGTTTTATGGGATGGAATGTTGGGCATCAAGAAACAACATATTCATAGCATGAGTAGCTGAGAAGAGGATGTTGAGATGGATGAGTGGTAGGATAAGAAAGGATGGAATTCAGAATGAATACATCTGAGGGAACTTACAGGTTGGCTCCTATAGGTGATATAAGATGTGGGAAAGTAGACTTAGGTGGTCTGATCATGTATAGCGTTGAGCTAGAACAACACCGGCTCAAAGGGTCAATTTGGTTCAAGTGGAAGTCTCTAAAAGGGTAAGGGGAAGGCCCAAAAGGATATATATATGGAAATAGTAAGAAGAGATATAGTGACCTATGGTCTGACTGAGGGTATGGCCCTTGATAGAACAGAATGGCAAAATAGGTTCATGTAGCTAACCCCAACTAGTTGTGATAAGGCTCAGATGATGATGATGATAATGATGATGTAAATGGGAGTCTTTCAAACAGCATAGACACTCCCATAAAATGAAACATAGAATGTAAGTGTATCCGAGGGAGACGGACTGGTGACAATGGAATGTTTCAACATCAAGCAAGACATGAAATAGATGTATTCATTGTCAAACACTATGTTTACTATAACATGAAGGCAAGCATAACATCAAGCAGCAATTAGCAGCTCACGTAACTCATATGAGAGAGCTTGAAATATTAGAAGTTACAAAGGGAAAATAAAATCAAAGAAAAATATGCTTCTTCATTGCATGCATTAATTATTCAAATTTCAAAAAACATCCCAGTTATTATAGAAATGTTTGATAAATTCAGCAATACAGAAGCAATAATTCATCCAAAATAACCAGAAGCATTTAAGCTTATAAATGATTAACTGTCATTTGAAAAGAAAAAATGAGGTTACAACAAGCTGCAACTTGAACCAGTATTAAATAGGGGCATAAGGTCAAATGGCACCAGGCTATTCATACACTATAAACCAAAAGTGATTTATTACAGAGAGAGGACTAAAAAATAGACAATTTTAAAATCATCAGAGAGCAAAAGAGGATTGGAATGAGCCAAAAAACTTTAGATTATTAAATAAGGACCATTGTCCCATTGCAAGAGCAGCTTTCCTCTACATAAATGAGCACGGAGAGAACAGGGACAATTAAAATTAATCGTGCATGCAAAACAGTATGCAATGAAAAGAATGGTGATGCCAAATCAGCCAAAAAGATATTTTCAGTAGGGTTTCACACATATTAACATTCCCAAACTCAGGTGTATTGCTTCATGAGAAAAGAAAAAATGATGGATGTAAAACCAATTGCAAAAACATCTCATCTAAGTTTTGCCAATTTAACATGCACAAATGTTCTGCATCACTGTATTGAAAGAAAGCAAGATCTTCCCAATTTTCCATCACATAATAATGCTCTTACCTCATCCACACAAAGTCTTGAAGGTTCTTTTGCCAATTCAAGGACCACTTTTATTAACGATCTCAATCCCTTCTCAGGAGAAATCAAGTATGGTTGATAACCATCTGCTTCCAATACAATCTAGAATAATATGAAGTAAGACAATAAGTCAACACCAACCACAAAAAGTTACAGTACTAAGAGAGCAAAGAACACATGGAACTAGTGAATACCCTTTTGACATTGCTGATATCGAAGTGTCTGTCTAAAGGAAGTTGCTTAATCCTGTTAGGAAAGTTCCCTTCGAAACTCGCCACCACCTTCCATCCTCCACCCTATGAAAGACATCCATAATAACAGAATTAGAAATACAAATTACGACAAAAACAACATATATGACTATAATTCATCCCCATATTCCCTAAATTCTTTCACATGAGCAATAGTCTAATTAATTGTGCACAGCCTCCATAACTATACCATGCATAAGAAACTTCAGAATGAGTGTCTATGAACAATGTGCGGAATTCATCGTCTAGAAGTATATGGTAAGACTTATAGCCACTCATGGAGCTATCACACTTAACCACCTACATCGGTCAAATGAAAATTAAGAAAGCTAGACTATGTCATGTTAGTAGAAAAAAGAAAAGTAACATCGAAGAAATTTACAGGCAAATATTAGGATGCAAGAAATTCTGCCGCAGGCTGACAAACAAAGCACCTTAATTTAAGTGCAATCAAAACAAGCATATTTCCCGATAGGCTCCATTTGCATATATAAAATTATGAACACCGCTAAAGGCCATCACAAATGGAATCCTAAACAGGTATGAATATAGAAATCAAGTTATGTCAAACTTGATCGTGTAGAACAGGGTGTGGATCAACACCTCATGCTACTTTGCACAATCCCAATCTGCAGTGCAAACTCCAACATAGAGAATGAATGATAACCAACATAAAGAAACGGAATACCATTTTTGAATAAATTTTGTCTCCCTGTGATTCTGCAGTTCTGCTCCTTGACCATTTGAAAGAACAGAAAGTGAAGGCACCTTCCTAATCACCCCAAGCAGCCAAATGCACAGAAAACAAGTCCATTATAACCACAAGCACAGAAGATCATATACACCTGCTTCTTTAATGCTTTACCCACAATGACTTTAATGTCTACTTCTCGGAAGCAGATGCAAGAATGGCTCTACCAGATACAACCAGGAGAACATTTCCTTGTCAGTAAAGCTTGAGGTTTTCTCTAGCCCTCCTGTGAATGTTGATGCCGACAACATTGGCCACCACTTTTTCCTAGCCCTTTGGATGAAAAAGCACTTGAGATACCTTTCGATCTATCATAAGCTGGGCTACTCCTCGAAATTGTGTGACGTGGCCTTCCTATTTGCTTTCAAATCCGAGGCTAGAACTCCGTTCATCCCCCCTTGTCAGCAGAAACCATACTTGAGCTATTTATTCTTTCACACTATTTCTAATGACTTTTTCTCATTAACAGAGACTCCAGCAACAACTATTGGATTCTTTATTTCTTCGAGTGAAATAAAGATTTCTCCCACTTGCTACATGTTAAATCCAACACCTGGGCAGATGAACAAGCAATCTGGCTGATACACAGTAACACTGGTGCAAAGCAGAAATGCCAACTCCCAGGAGTGTTTTTTACAGACCCAATATAATTGGAATTTTTGGACTTTGCTCACATGTCCGAGTTCCAGCATCTCTACACCTATATTTGCATAAGGAAGTATCTTCCAGATATTCCCTCAACTAGTTTCTTACAGCAGTGATCCTGCTATCAGATTAGGTGTCAGTTGTAGAATACAAGTAATGTTTGTTTCAGAGCTTTATTCAACGTGAATTTTGCTTTTTCCTTTTATGATTTTTTAACATTGTTTTGCTCAAGTGAATGTCCAAAGAGCAATTGTGGAGGAATGTGCCCATGCCACGTAGTTCTTTCCATCTTGCTAAGTGGATGTAATTCTGAATACTTTGATCTTCATTATTAGAGCATGCGCGGTACGTGTGAAAATACGTTCGTGGAAGTATTTTCACGTGAAAAAATTCCCATACGTGATTAGGTGTGGGAGTTTTTTCATATTATTAGCTACCAATTGGTGTGAAAAAGTACGCTGTGACCAATTGGTGTGAAAAAATTCCCACACCTAATCACATGAGGGAGTTTTTTCACGTGAATATACTTTCATGAAAGTCTTTTCATGCGTAGCAAACATGCCCTAAATATTTTAGTGACCCCGTGCATCAAATCGAGTAAACTAAGATTATAATAACTCATCAGCCATCATGAAGACTTGGCAAAAAAGTAATTTCAAATTCCCACAGCTTTTTAATTCATCTCTTCGGTCATGGACAAGAGAAAAGAAAAAACCATCAGTTTGATAAATTACAATTTACGGACAAGCCTCAACAAATCAAGTCATGCACAGAGTACTTTCTTAAACGAAGTAACTTTGTCTTGATATGGGTAAACTTTCACACTTGCTGTGTGTTGTGGGCACCAAACAAATTTTTTTTTTTTTGAGAATCGGTTAACTACAAAATTGTTAGTAATTACAAAAATTTGGAGCTGTGAAAGACTCCTGAGGAAGAGGCTCTCCAGATACTGTGGTTTACTCTTAAGACACCTTTGGTAAGTGTGTCCCCAACAGCATTAGCCGCGGACAGGAAAATCCTCTTGTTTAAAGATTCTTTGGAACTCAGATTTTTGCCTCAAATCTCCTCGCTCAGCCTCGGTCAAGTCTCTGGACTCTTTGGTTAGGTCAACATATGCAAGTTCAGCCAGTAAGGTGGCTTTTATTTATCCTAGATGACCAAATTACTTGATTACACACTGCTTGAGGTTATACTTGAGAAGTTGCATTTTCAAGCACAGGCAGAATCCACCCTACCTGAGGGCTCCAAACCCGAACCACCAATGGGGGAACAGTCCAAGTAATTCAACTTCTTCATGCTACATTAGTTCAAACCTAAAAAGTCTAGGACCACCTAAGGCAGGTTGTGTCTTGAGAAGGATGTGGATGAGGTCCGAGTTGGGTTTGGGGAGAGTAATAGAGTGGGACCCTGAGAATTGTTCCTCCTACTTGGGGAAAACAAGGAATCAGTTGGTAAGGATGGGGCTGTGTTTGAATGAATGGGCCAAGTAAAAGACACAACATTGAGGGGGATGTCTATAAGCTTTTGCCTAAAAACGAAGTAAGAGAAATCCACAAGCTTGCTGTTTTCTGGCCTCCCTTATCCTTCTAGAAAGACCATCTGGTGACGTTGAAAATGTCAATGATTCACCAGAGGATGGAGCAAAAAACTAAATCTGCTCCATCTCTGATCAAACAGCTCTTTGAGGTTCAGTCTATTAGGATCATATACCGCAGCAGTAAACATCCGCTCAAAACTATTGAAAATCCATTGGAGGATGACAGGAAACCCAAAAAGTCCAAATACACGATGAAATATTCGTGAAAACAGTGGGATCCCAAACCACCCAAATTACTCTTGAGGCACTTTGGGCCGGAAGAAGGTCCCAAGCACACGGTCTGACCCAAGATGGAAAAGTTTTGGGACAAGGTGGGAGATCGAGCTTCGCTGAGATGGCTTGAACATCGAGGGAGAATTTCAGGGAGTGGCTGAGGACCTAGGATTTCTTGAAGGAAGACGAGGCCCACCAGGGAGTGGGAGGGTGGGGTTGGTGCATTGTTGTTGTTGTAGGAGAGGAATGCCAGAGCCGATTCAGCACTGGTGAAATTTGGATCTGGGGCCAGAGGGTTGGAAGGGGTAGTAGAGTTCTATTAATTTCTTATATCTTAACTAGAAGGGTTTAGAAGAGAAAACACATCATAGAAGGAATGAAATACCCACCTCGCCTGAGGAAATATGCTGTAGAAATTTATCTTCGAACTCACGACAGAGCTCCAAAGCAATAGCCCTCGTTCCTTCTGCGCTATGGACCATTTGTTCACCAAGCCTCACCAACTCATCCTCAACCAATTGTGACCTCCCTTGCAGCCTACAAATAGTTGTAGGAATAATAAATTCAACTATTATATTAATTAAAAACAGAACAACAGATTCCTATACATCTCTCCTACCAGTAGCCTTCAAGCTAAAAGAATATATTATATTCTTTCAAAGAAGACTTCCAAACTACCACAGTAAGCATCTCAGATTACTGGCAACCCTCATCAGCATAAGAAGACTTCTGAACTTACCCTGACAGAAGGCTTGGGAGCCTTACTTTCATCCTTTTGCGAATCTGACGGGCAAGTGTCTCCACCAGAGCCACTCTACCAAGCTTGTTCTGTGGAGCTCCAGGTAGTATGGATTTTAGGCTCTCGCTCTCCGCTCGCCAAGCAGTTTCTAAAGAACTTTCAGAACCCACAGATCCCGATTGTGCTGATGCAATGGATACAGATTGCCCAATCAAAGCAGCCCAGGGAATATCATTTGTATTCCGTGGTCCCTGATTCACAAGAAGAGCCTGAACCGCAGCAAGAGTTTTCTGGTCTGTAGCTGCTTGATCTATTTTGCTAATAATACCAATGGTTCTTGTCCCTGCAAGTGATGCAATAAAAGGAATGCCAAGTGAAGTGAAAAAACAATAATAATAGAAAACATGATAGGACCAATGCATGGCTCACAAGAAGCATTTGCAGTTCAAAGAAATAGAAAATGTACACACAATTGACTATCAGGTCAAAGTATTTACCATCTGGATCAAACTCCAAGGCCAGTTTAAGTGCCCGCAAGGAAGATATCTCTGGAGTCTGGGCAGCAGGCACTATAACAAGCAAGATAGCATCATTACGGTCCACATAATCACTGATCTGCAAAATTTTAAAAAAGGCAAAAGAAACAAAAAATATTATTAGTCTGCAACAACAAACAATTTCACATGTTTTCAGCTAGTACATAAGATCTCAAGCACTTATCACAGTAGGCATGTATATTCAACACCGAGAATATTAAAAAAAGGAGCCAAGACTCATAGGTCAAGAGTAAACTCAAGATAACCGACGTGGAACATTGTAGATGTCATGCAAGTTATGAATTCAGCCAAAACTCCAGTAAGCCCATGAGTAATTTCACTGAAGTCTGGCTTTTCTTTTATCAACAATGTACCTCATCGAAGTCTAGAAATACAAGTTCATTTGTGAATGTCCATGATAACACTAGAAGCCAACAGATTTTCATAATCACGAACATGTTTCCCGGATTCCAAGGACATATCTAAGCTTCAAAATCTGGTTCAATCAATTTTTTTCCTCGAAGCAAGACACAGCTTTCTCCAAAAATCCACGGATCTCTCAAAATTATGTTGAAAGCTATTTTATCACCTATAGATTGCGGACACATTAACATACATTAATTACTGCTGAGATTCTTATTCTCAGAACTGTTATGAAGTTTTAAAGATAAGATACTAGACAGGGTTTATCTACAGGGTGTGGTTTGTATAAGGCTGAGGTCTTAAACAGCCAAAGTAAGGCACACCTTCAAATAATATCGAAAGATGTTGTTTCAGTACTGAAAACCTTTGTGATGGCATGAAAATTCATTTTCATCTCTAATTATAAATTTAAAGCTTCAAAAATGGTGTAGATCGAGCAGATCTATGAATACTTGAAAATTTTATAAATTGATAGTCTAGAAAATACATTACAAGATGCACTATTTCCAAAACTTGAAATCCAGTTTTTCTCATGTCCATTCATCTTGAGGTCGAGATGACCAATTTGAGGATTTTTGGGCATTGAAACAACCTCTTCTAGTGGATTTTTGAGGTATGCTTTAATTTGATTGTTTAGGGCCTCACCCTTAAATAAATTCTTTCCGTATATAAATAGATATCTTCTTTATTGTGACTCTGCCAAGTTAAGGCTATCTTAACAAGTTGACTAAAAACCAATCATGCCCACGTGAAGATTCTAACTGTTGCAAAACATTAAAAGATAAAACGTAATAAAAGCATCAACATGTCATCACAAAAATGACATCTATAATCAAGGTACAAAAACTAACTGACCATTGAATCATCCATAACGCGCTGGTCCAATCCAGGCAAATCAATCAACTTCAGCGGAGGAGCTGCAAAAGAAAACCTAATTAGTTAAATTAAAGTATATTTCCACGCAAAAAAGTTCATTGCATTACAACAGCACAACCAACGGAAAATAGAACAAGTTACCAATAGAAGTCAAAAATCTAAATCAAAAACTACAATTTACCCATACCTCATAGGTAACAAATTATTTCCACAGGAAGAAAAAGATTAATATTTTAAACCAAAAGATAAACACAACTCCCTCATGCCCGTTTCTAAGCACATACACAACATCCAAATTTAGGCAACACACCCACAAAAACTTTCCTCTGCCCAGTCAAAAGTTATCCATGGAATACATTTAATAACATGAAGCTCCTTTTCTTTAGCAAATAACTTCCTCAAATTATTTCAATTTTTATTGGCAAATTCCTCAAATTGTGACTTCAACATAAGTTCACAACTTGGATTAACCAATAAACTAACCAAAAGAAGAAAAAAAATGCTCTAGTAACGATAGTCAAAATAGAATGCAGGTACTTTTTTCTTGAGTGCTTTTTTTTTTTTTCTTTGTTAGATGTGCTCAACTGACCAAGTATAGCACTAGAACCTCTCAAAAAAAAACGCAAAAAAAAAAAAAAAGGCATTAGTGGAAATTAGAGATTTCACAAAGTGCACGTATATCTACCATCTATATAATTAATGAAACAGTTTCATAGTAATATAATGACACTACTACTCAAAAAACCACGTTATGGGCATTTGATTAACCCCAAATTCTGTAAATGGATTCTCGTCATCCCCATAATGATC